CACACACACACTTTGCAGAAGAAGCAGAACAAAGCTGTCACTGTCCGCTCCTGGGGAGGTGCCAAACCTTGCAGCCAGCCTTCCAAATCCTCCCGAAGCCTTATCACCAGGACACAGCAAGAAAGATAAAGAAACCGCAGCCCGACTGCCAAAATGTTCTGCCACCTCCTCAGCACTGGGGGCTTTTCTGAAGAGGTCACCTTCCCAGCATGGCCCCCGCCACCACGCGATAGGAATGTGGAGGGTGCATTATTCTTTTGCTAAGGGAACCCTTGAGGAGGAAGAGGCAAACCTGCCCTCTTCGCGCTCCGCTTCCCCTCCAACACCAGCCGCAGGAGCCTGGCAGATCTCCTGGAGCCCTGAGCCCAGGTTGGTGGCAAGTCAGTGCCATCATGGGACGATGAAGAGCATCCTTCTCACCTCAGGTGACTCGAGTTCCCAACCTGCACCTACCACTGGCTTGCTGTGTGGACTTGACCATGGAAAACCCTCAGTGTTCCTCAGTTCTTCATCCAGAAATTGGAGGTCATAAGAGCTCCGACCCTCAGAGGCATTTGGTGACAATGGAATAGAAAAACACAAGTTGAATGTGGAGACAGGCACCTGATACCCGTGTCCCCAGCATGTGTTATAAACCCCTGCCTGGTCTTCTCCTGAGGGCTGACCCCACTCCTGACCAGAGTCCTCAGAAGCTCCCGGGGACTATGAGAACTGAGGCCCATGAGAAAGGTATTTGGGGTTAGTTATCGAATGCTGCACACAAAAATCACCCCACATCTTCGAGGTTTAACAAACAGAACTTACGTTGTCTGACAGTTTCTGAAATGGGTCTGAAATCCACGAGGGGCCTGTCCCTGGCTCAGGGTCTCTTGTGAGATTATAACTGAGATGCCAATATGGACTGCAAGGATTTGACCAGGGGCAGATCCACCTCAACCTTACCCAGGGGGCTGCTGGCAGGCCCCAGCTCCACAAGGGCCTCTGAGAGGGCACTCACAACAGGGCAGTTGGCTTCCACCAGCGAGAGCAAGAGAGACAGCAGGAGACAGCAGTGGAAAGGATGTCAGCCTTGGTAAGCTAATCCTGGAACTGACAACTCATTGTCCTTTGTTTCATTTTTCTTTGTTGAAAGTGAATCCCAATTTGCACACCCATGTTCACAGCAGCATTGTTCCCAGCAGTCAAAGGATGGAAGCAATCCAAGTAAGTGTTCATTTGTCAATGAGCGGAGAAACAAAATGCGGTATGTCCACACAGTGGAGCAGTACTCAGCCTTAAAAAGGAAGGGAATGGTGACGTGTGCAATATGGATGAGCCTTGAGGACATTATGCTAAGTAAGCTGAGCTGGTCGAAAAGTGACAAACACCATCTGATTCCACTAATATGAGATACTTAGCTAGAATTACCAAATTCATCACGACAGCTGCCAGGGCTGGGGAGAAGGGTCATGGGGAGTTGTTGTTCAATGGGTTCAGGGTTTCAGAGATACAAAATGTCAGAAAGTTCTGGAGATTAGTTGCATAGCCATGTGAATGCACTTAACACCACTGGACTCTGTTATGGGAATCAATTCTTTGTTATGGGTATTGTCACACACACACACACACACACACACACACTTACGCATGCATACACACAATGCAGGTCCAGATCACATTCACAGGGATGGGGTTATACCAGGGCATGGATATCAAGAGATGGGGATCACTGGAAGCTGTTGCCACATTCAGGGACATTTTTAAGGCCACCTGAGTGGCACTCACACCCAACATGTGCATGACAGCCCCTGGTAACTCTCAGGTGTGCACCTCCCAGGGAGAGTTCTGAAGCAACAGAAAAGCCAGAGTGAACCTGCTGCACAGGCACAGATTTCAAAATGTCTTGCAAACAGAGCGCTTTCCAATCAAGGAAGTCCCAGTGAAAAGCCAGTCCCACCGCCATGTTCTTTGGTGTCCAATACGTCCCACGGGAAGGCTAAGACCACAGTACTGTACCTTCTCAGGCCCATCCCAGTTCCGAGTCCTTAGGGAACAAGTCGTTGGCTGTCAAGGCCAAAGATATAGAGGGCAACAGAAGAGGGGCTCCCTGGTGTCTGCAGAGTGGAATGTCTCCTTTTTCACCCGAGTTAGAGAAAAGGCATTTCAAGCACCGTATTTCCTGTCTTGAGACCAGTTTTCTCCACCTCCTCAAAATAAATATTATAAAATGTAATTTTCTTTTCCTACATCAACTGAAAGCAAAGATGCATTTTTCAAGGGCTTAGAAGCCCACAGGAAGCAATTAGGACATATTTGGATTAAATGAGCTCCTGTGCAGCGTTCTGAGTAGGGAGTACCTGGTGTAGCGTAAGGTCTGACAATTCCACGTGGCACAAGACTGTATTCTGTCCAAACCAGACGCCTCTGAGACTCTTCAGGAAAACACCGCATGGAGTTTGGCCTCTCAAAAGCCCAGCATGGGTCAGAAGTTCCCACAGTGCCCACGCTCCTTTGTTCAAGTAGCAAGAGTAGCAGGCAGTTTTGCATTCAGAGGTTACCATGTCCGCACAAAGCACAGCCTTAAATACTAGAGGCACACTCGGTGCATGGAGATGTATACTCCGCATGAGGGACGCAGAACTGCAGGCTGGCCCGGGGGCTGCAGACCCAAGACTGGTGTCTTGCGCTCACTGAGGGGCAGACTCCCACTGAAGGAACAGAAGAAGCTTCTACTCGATTGAAACAATGATCATAACATTATTATTTTAATAAGTTATGAATACTTTAACTCACATAACTTAGCGATGTCTGTGCTGTGGATTCCACAGTGTGCACATTAACAGGGTGAGGATAAGAGAAGTCTTTTCTATTCTTCAGCATTTACTGAACCCCTGGTGTGCAGGACACTATGCTACTAGATAGGTTCTGTAGAGTTCAAGGTCACAGCCAGTGTTCCTGAGTAGCCAATGATGATGCCTTCCACAGGGGCCACCTGGAGTGGAGGTTGGTATACTGGCCGCACCTAAGGACATTACCAAATGCCTAACTAAGGAGAGCACCAACCCAGAGCTTGTCATCTAAGGGGATGTCATTTGGGTACAGAGGCAGAAAGCTGAGACCCTAAGGAAGGAAGGTTGCTCGATGTTAAATATTTGTCAAGGGCTGGGCTTCCTAGGTACAAGTCCTAGGTACCATCAACTTTTTCTATGAACCTCATGTTTGTGAGAAGGTAATAAGGAAAAAGAAGCAGAATTTAGAAAAGGTAATTTCCTATGCAGACACCAGTCATTCCTCCCAAAGGGAAGAGCAAAAGTCGGCCTCAGTAAAACACCTGGGTCAGGAGGTTGTTGCCACACCATGAGCATCCCTTACCTCCAGGTCCCTCACCTCCAGGTCTCTCACCTCCAGGTCCCTCACCTCCAGGTCCCTCACCTCCAGGTCCCTCACCTCCAGGTCCCTCACCTCTAGGTCTCTCACCTCCAGGTCCCTCACTTCCAGGTCCCTCACCTCCAGGTCCCTCACCTCCAAGTCTGCCTTGGGAGCCCTTCCACCTCACACCTAGGGGTGCCATGAGATACATGAACACACAGGATGCTGGGGGGAAATAATATTGATAGAAAAATGTCCTCCGTCCCTCCCATCCATGCTAATAAGTGCTTGACTTGGTGATGTTGGTTCCCATTTGGGATCCATCCCTGGCTCTACTTTGGCATCTGTTTTGATTTTATTTTATAAAAATGTGACTTTGTCTCAAGACTAGCAATACCCAGAAGTTTAGAAATTCCTAGACAAATGGCAAAATTAAAATCCTCTCTAAGGTTCATGCAGAACACTGGCTCTCAGACTTAGTGTGCTTTAGAATCATCTGGAACATTTGTTAAATGAAACAGAGATGGCTGGACCCACCCTCAAGGGTGGATTCAGATGGTGGGGAATGGGGCCCCCAGCACGTGCATTTCCAAAGTCGTCATCCCGTCCCGTCCCCCCCCCCCAGCCCCCCACCGTGTGGGGTGGCTGGACTGAGGCTGCACTTGGAGAAAACCACTGGGAAGGGAAGACCCGGGAAGGGCTTTTCCAGGCAAGGACAATCAGAGGCTTCCCACTCTACCAACAGTCACCTCCTGAGCTGTTCCCTGCACAGATCCTGGCCAAGTCTATGCAGATACTCTTTTACCTTGTCATTACAGAATGTTTACTGAACAAGAGTCAGTAAGTAAAGAAAGGTGCCGGTCAGTCTCAGTGGAGGCCGTGGCCTCACCCCGCCGTGTGTCTCCCAGGTTCCCTAACACAGCTCGGTTTCCACCCCCAGCTGTATGCATCCTTCCGTTGCCATGACACAGCTCTGAAATCAAAAGCCTCGATGTGCACCAGCAATTTACACCAGAGGAAACAAAGCAGTAAACAAACACAAGGGAGTGGGGACGTTAGCTCAGCTCAGTTCATCACAGAAATGCAAATCAGAGCATTCGGGGAGGCTCTGGTTCCAGGACTAGTAAAATGAAAAAAAAAAAAAAAAGCAACAGCAAATGTCTGTGATACAACAGGAAAACCGACAGGTGTGAATGATGCCAACGTCAACTGAAGAAAAAAAAATCCAACAGCTGTGTGGTGAGAGGTGGCCACGACCTGCACAGGGGACCCACCCTGCAGAATCCACCCTACAGAAATAATCCGATGGAAAGAAAGGGATCGCGTGGCCCAACAAGGCAGTGACTTAGAAACCACAGCACAGTGGCACGAGGGTGTGTCCTGCAGCTGGGGCCAGCTGCAATTCTGAGGAGGAAAGGTGTGAGGGACATTGAACGATGAAGAATACCAAATGCAGAACGGTGGGCGCGGCGCGGTCAAGACCCCGGTACCCGTGCACCTACCCGCCCCAGGGCTGGGGGGCCACGCGTAGGAGCTACCCACGCTGTGTTTGGAGGCGGGTGTGGGTTCCTTCCTCCCGTGCCACGCTGCCTCAGTGACGATGGCCACGCTGCACGGCGGGGGCCACGGCCCAGTGCCCCAGCGACTCCTACCTTGGGAACTCTCGCAGCTCTCCTCGTCACTGTTGTCCTGACAGTTGTTCTGCCCGTCGCAGAGGAAGCTCTTGTCGATGCAGAGGCCGTTCCTGCAGTGGTAGCGGGCGGTGGAGCAGAGCAGGGGGTTGGCTGCTGCGAAGGGAAAAGAGGGCTGGTCACCAGGGAGGCCAGCGAGTCCCACCCCCCGCGACCCCAGAACCTCCTCCAGCCAGCCGCGAGCTAGTCCTGCCCGTGGAAGGCCAGGCCAGGACAAGACTCACTCTGCCACCTTGCAAGCGTCCCTTCCCCCGGGTCACCGTACTGCCGCCTGTGACCACACCAATGTGGTCTGAATGACCATTCAGCGGCTCCCCCTGAATGGTCAACCCTAGGGTGGCCTGCAGCCTGCCGAGGCTGGGGCAAAACCTGGATCCCTGGACTTCTCCCTTGGGGACTTGAGAGTGCACCAGTCAGTGACAGGAGACTCAGGGAGAAAAGCAAAGCTGAAAGAAGTAACTGAGTCAGGTCAGAGGTCAGAGGTCAGAGATCACGTGATCACGCCCAAGCGCTAGCAGGATCCTTCTGGCTCCCTCACTGTGGACCAGCCCGTTAATTCCTCGTTTATTCTTTATGACTTACGAATGTAAACTCCTGGTCTTGAGTCTTTGCCACCAAAAAAAAAATCCACAGACCCAGTGAGTCAGGTCAGTGACCGTTTCCAAAAAGCTCCTCCAAAAGGCTCCCTGTTTTAGGGACTTTCACAGAAAGAAAAGAAAATGACAGCTCTGAGCCCTGCTTTCAAGCTAAAGGGTGGCAAATGGTCAGTGTGAGGTCAACACATAATTACTTAATAACGCATAAGCAAATGTGCACAGGCAGACAGTGTCTCTGCAGCACAGGACACCTCGTGTCCCCATTCCTCATGAGGCTCACTCCAGGGCTCTGTTTCAATCAGAGAAGGAGTCACGTGGAAATGACCTTATTCACTGTGCAATCCTGGGTACATCCCTTCGCCTCTCCGAGCCTTGGTTGCTTTGTCGGTGGACAGGACTGGCTACATCATGGACGGATGCAGAGCAAATTGAAAATATGGGGTCTGCTGTTCAAAAATCATTAAAACCATTCATGACAGCAAGCACAGAGTATAAGAGTAGGCATGGCACCCTCCTGGCCTAAACACCGGCCCTGTGTGACTGCACCAGTCACAGGCCCGTGGCTCTCACACTGCTGCAGCATTAATTTCAGAATTATGTGATTTCTATGAGAAAACACAGAGGGCCAAGACTGGCAGGCAGCACCCTCTAGTTATGTGTGTCCTGGACACACAGGGTGTGGCCTCCCACAGGGGGGGACAGTGTTAATGATGAAGAGGGTTCAGTCTGGACCTCAGGTAGTGAACTGAACCTGAACTGCATGTGGCGAGACCAGCACAGAGCGGATGCCAGGCCCAGCTCGGGAATTGCTATGGGCTCAGGCTGTCAGCACCAGTGCCCCTTGCAAGGTCCCTTGCAAGTGTGAGGTGGCAGCTGCAATCTCTCTGCTGTGAGCTCCACTGAGCTGCTGTTGGGTCACACACAGATCACAGCTACAGATCTGGTGGAGTTCACGGGGCTGGGTCAGCTAAAGGCCTGCAGGCTCTATTTATTTTTTTTAACATTCAACCTAGGAAGTTTAATTTGGAAGGTCAGAGGAAGCAGAGGATGGAGCTCTGGGTTTAGAGGATGCTTAACCCGTGTAAAGCCAAATAAACCAAGTTCAACTTGAAAATGGAAGACTGGATTATGAAATTGCTGTGGGCCAGAGAATGGCTGAAACCAATGTCTGACTTTAGCCAAAACCCAAATGGAGAAACACAGAACCACAGATCATGTTGGGTTTTGGTCCAAGGCAGCACTCCAAAGCCTTCTGCCCATCAGCACCACCATGGTGACCTTCAGCATCTCTGGGACCTTGTAGGTCAAGTTGATGTGGCCAAGGAATCAGGAACAAGCAGCTCATTCAAGAACAGCCCTGGGAAGGCACCCAATCACTCCAAGGTAAGCCATCAAGACTGCGTTAATACCCTAGTGCCAAGCCCAGACTCGTTATCAACTAACTCACTTTCCCTTCAGCCTTAGACCCTTTCAACTGCATGAGCTTCCCCCCAGGGAAAAAGTCATGTGTGTGTGTGTGTGTGTGTGTGTGTGTGTGTGTGTGTGTCTACATATGTGTACATACATACTACCTATGTGTATGCATTTATACATGTATGTTGGAAAACCAAGTCACAGACTGGTTTGAATGCATGTAACCACCAAGGACTAGTAGCCAGAACATGTGAAGAACTCTCTTAATCAAAAAGTAAAGGACCACTCAATAGAAAAATGGGCAAAGGATTCAGTCAGGCATTTTACAATAAGAAGAATGGCAAATGGTCCATAAAAACTCGGAAAAAAGTGTGTACTGTCACCAGTAATGAAGTGGCACTTCACACGCGTGACACAGAACATATTTAAGGGCTTACACTAAAGGTTGTTGGCAAAGAGGAAGTCTCATGGATTCTGAGAAGGAGTGCAAACTGGTAGGACCACCTTGCAGAGCGATTTAGTAAATTTTAAGGTGCGTATACCCTACAACCTGGTAATTTCACTTCTAGCTCTTACACACTCTACAGACAGAAGAACAAAGATGTTTGCTGAAGCCATTATTTGTAAAACAAAAAAATGGGAAATGACCCAAATGTTCATCAATAAGAGAACAGAGACAAGGTGCTGCACTATACAAGGGAATAGCTGAAAGCCTGAGGTGGCTCTTTTTCTGTAAAGGGACAGATGGTAAATATTTTAAGTTTTGCTAGCCACTGATGTGTCTCTGTTCTAATGACTCAACTTGGTCACTGGAGTGTAAAGCAGCCACAGAAAATTTGTAAACAAAGGGCCACGTTCCAATAAAACTTTATTGACAAACACAGACAATAGGCCAAATTTGGTCCAGGTCCACAGTGTGTTGTACCACTGTTGTACCACAGTGAAAAATGAAATGAACTGGTCACGGTGGATAAATCTCAGAAACATAAAAGTCAGTGGGGAAAGCAATGAGTATAATATGTATAGTGCTGTATCATTTATATGAAGTTATCTGTGCAAAAATGTCATTTGTTATTAAAAGACACAAAGACATACAGTGAATCAATGCAAACTCATATGACCAAAACCACCATCAAGTTCAGGGCAGCGGATGCCTCTGCAGAGAAGGGACTAGGATGGATCTGAGAGGGACCTGCTGCAGACTTCTAATTATATTTGGTAATATGTTTTTTTTTAATCTGAAGCAAAGAAAGCAACACACAGCATGTTGCTTGGAACCGGGTGTTGGGAACACAGGTGCTCATTTTATTTTACTTTTAAAAGCTTTTCTTAAGAGTCTCATCTTTTCTGTGACACTGGCTTTCCGTTCCCTTGGTCCCCTTTCCTCTTGTCCACCAACAGCTGCCTCAACTCTCTTGACAAAAGAGGGGGTGCACATTTGTAAAGAGCCATACCTGAGCTCCTCCCTGGGTCTCTCCTCTGTGACTCCACAGGCCACAGAAAGCCCTAAGACGTGAGCCCTGTTCCCCACCCTGCTGCAGGGCAGAGGAACGGAGTGGGAGAGAAGGCAGAGAAGTACACCTCCACCCCAGCAGCAAGCCAGCAAGGAGGGCTCCCGTCAAAACCTGCACAGCCAGGTCCGCGCCTTCCAACTGCCAGGAGTTCACAGAGAGCGCTCCAACTCCACCTCCCTCAGCACCTATTGATTCTCCATTGACCCAGGTCCCACCAAGCTTCGATTCCCCATTCCCAAGGACAAAGCCAATGAGAAGGGAGAGGGGAGGCTCCTGACCACCCTGCAGACAAACGGACAGCAAGAAAAAATAAAGCTGACAACCTGGGAGGGGACATAAAACCTTAAAAAGACAACCCAAGAATTCCAAAAGCCTAGCACAGCTTCAAAAGAGACTGGAAAGTCCTACAAAGGAACCAAAGGCAATCCCCACCCCTCCCCTCCCCCAGCCCCTGCATCAGAGCCAGGTCTAAACAATGACTGTTCCTAAGGGTGACCCTGAGCTTCTACCAAAAAAGGCAGACATGGACAAGAGATTCTGGTCAATGACAGGATTCAAAGACACAATGCTCTGAGTCACCTAACCAGAGTGGCAGATGTAGCCCACAGACCCCAGACACTTCAAGTATCCTCCCATGTCTGCCAGGTCCTCTGCAGCTATTGACAGGTTCAGTTAGACTGTGGCACCAGTGCACATGGATCAACACTGGAGGCTCTGGTGACTGGGGCTCAAGGCTCAGAGGTTTCTGCAGCCCATGGGGACTGTCCCAGAACCTGCAAACAGTCACCGCTCAACAAACAGAAAGGAGACCCTGCGTACTATTAGGTGTTATGGCCCAGGATCTCTAGTAATATTTAGTGTGCTCCAAAGGTTTATGTTTTCTTTGTCCTTGCTAAGTATGGCTTACTACGCACTCCTTGAGACAAAAAAAAAAAAATGTATTATTTTATTCAGTTAACTAGGGAGAGGAACACTGTTATCTTATAGTATTTATTTCACTGGAGGTGGAGAAAATCGTCTGTGGAGTCAAGTTACTCAATTGTAGGCTCCAAAGCTCCTTGGGTATTATTAGCACAAGAAATACAGGGCTCTAATGGTCTATTTTCCAACCCACAATATGCAGGAAAGAGAACGTGTCTCTCTCTGCCATGACGGAGGGAGGCGTGAGTTAAGGGAACCGCTTAGCGGTTAATTAAACTGGCGCGTCTACTTGGACCACATCTAAAGGAGCGGGCCAAGAGACCACTGTGGTCACCCAAAAGCAGCTGAGCGGCTTCAAGACAGGAAATGAGGCAATCTGTCTCCGGCAGGACTTAAGAAGTCCTCTTTCACCACACAAATAGAAAACTCCTTGTCACCATCCCCCCAAATTCCCACCTGTCTCCCTGTCCTGTGGTTGACCACCACTCAATGGGTAATCCTGGATTCCCTGGGGAGCTCATCTCCCCAGCCCCCACTGCCCTGCAAACCACACAACTGGAGACGATGGTGCCACACTAAGCTTTTGTCTTCTCCAGGATGGAGATGTGGCACCTGGAGGGTGCCGAGGGTCAAGGCACCCAGAATAGGTGCTTGCTACATGCTGATTATCATTATTAATGTGCATTAGGGTAGTGGTTAAGAGTTCAGACCCTGGGTTGAGATCCCAATTTATCACTTACTAATTATGTGACCATGACAAGTTGCTTCACCTTTCCATGTCTCCATACATCTGAAAGGGGGGTGATACCACCACCCACCCACAACGAATTCATCTGCATGAAGCATATGGAAAGGCATACACAGGGGGTGCTCAATAAGTGCCCCAGGTGGTTCATGTGGCCTGGGCAGCGTGCACATCTCCCAGACTCACCTGGGCCCTCGCCTGGAACACCCCATAGGTCTGTATTTTAAATGGTACCCACACTCCTAAGCTCATTTCCTTCAACCACCCCCACTAAGGAGCCCAGAGGAAAGGAATGTGTCCCATCCCTGATTCCCACGGCGCTCCCCACTGTCAACTCCACGTTATCATCAGAGGAGATGAGTATTTTTGGATCTCTTACTTGAGTATAAGCTCAAGGGTGTCAGGGTCTGTGTCTGACCCATCTCTGTCATCCCTGCAGCATCTTGCGTGGTGTCTGGCACAGAGATTGTGGAAAGAAGATGAGAATCTGAAAGAAGGCAGGAGCTGGGGTTAGTGAGCAATGGAAGGCCAAACCCACTCTGGGCGCACCCCGGCACACACGAGAGGGTTCAGATGTCCCTATTTTAAGAATATACCCTGACTGCAGTGGGGAAGGGAGGCTGCCTCAGTCAGCCTGTCTTCCTCAGCCCTTCATTTGACTAGTTACTTGATGCGTTCATTCAACAGTCACGTATCGACTATTTCCTTAAAATAAATCACTCTACTAAGCTCTGGAGATAAAGCACAACCCAATCTCTGTTCTTAAAAAGCTTCCATTCCAGACGGGGAGTCCAGTCAACAGGACATGGAGATACAGCAGGAGAAGTCCTATTTATTGTACGTAATCTATCACCTGCTAAGGATGAGGCTGCAGCATGCTCGGCTGGGAACAAAGTACCATCTCACGGCGGCCAATCCAGCAGGGAAGACAGAAGACCAACAGTGCTGAGAACAGAGAACAGACAAGCACAGGGTGCAGAGTGCAGAAGTCATTTCTCACAAGGGGGTCAAGGCAGGCCCCCTCTCCAGGTGCCCGTTGCTTGAGGAAGGCTCGGGTTGTGCGGGGGAACCCACAGGATGATCCAAGCCAGCCCTGGCAAACCAGGGAGGCTTCCCCAGGAAGCAGGTCACCGAAGGAGACTCAATGACAAGGCTGTGGAGCACTGGCAGGAAACGTTTACCCCATGGAGATTCCCAGACCACCCAGTCCAGCTAAGGGGCAAACAGGAAATGCACAAGGACAGACTTAGGCCAGCACCCACCGTGGGGCTCTGTGAACAGCAAGACAGACAGACCAGGGAGACCCTTCTGCTGGGCTCAGGGGCCAGGCAGATTCATCCCCAGGGAAGAGAGCAGTTCAGGACAGGGTGGTTATGTCGCAGGGCATAACTCTGCCAAAGCAGGAACAGAGGATGCTCGGCCTCAATGAATTGGCTACGGTGGTCGCCAGACACCGCTGTCCCGGTTCACAGCTGGAGTCCCCGACCTCCCTCAATGAGGATCCTGAGAGCCACACGGGCAGTGGACCTGGGGCCTCCCTCCAGTTGGGAAGATCCAAGCACAATGGACAAGGGAAGGCAGATGCAGCCAAGGGAGGGGAAAGGAGAGGAGAACCTCAGGACCGTGAGGCTCCAAAAGGGAACCCTGGCCCCGCTGGTCCTTACTCCTGAGAGAGGAAGAAACGCAAACCCTGGAAAAACCCAAGGCTGTTAAATCAGACTCTAAAAATGGGACTCTGGAAGTCACCTGTTCAAGCCAAGAAGTCACCCAGCAGAACCACTCCTTTATCTTTCATCTATTTCTTGGGTCATCTTATCAGGGGATTTTTTTTTTCCAAACGCATGCAAAAATAGAGGTTGGTTTGATGAACTCCATGCACCAATCACTTGGCTACCATAATTACCAACTCCCGGGCAGTTCTGTTTGCCCCACCCTTGATCACCCTCCCTGCCCTGGTGGGACTGGCTCCAAGCACACCCAGACATCACGTAATCAGATCTTTATAGACTTCAATACATATTTCTATAAGATATGGATTTTTAAAAAATAGTCACAATACCATTCTCAAACTTAAAAAAAGTTAACAACAAAGCTCTCATATCATCAAATATCCAACCGCCATTCAAAAATCACCAATTATCTCAATTTCGTTTCTTAGGTCATCTTATTAGGGGATTTTTTTTTTCCAAACAAATGCAAAAATAGATGTTGGGAATGTCTTAGTTACTTGGAGTTAGGATTCAAACAAGACCCACACACTGCACGGGGTTAATGTATCTCCTGGCCTCTTTGAATCCATGGTCCCCTCTTCCTCTATGTTTCTTCTTAGAATTTATTTATGGATGAAATTGGGCCCTGAAGAATCCCCCACACGGTGCATCTGGCCGTGTGCCTCCCTATGGGGTCATTACCGTGTTCCTCTCTCCCCGAGTTTCCTATGAACTAATGGTGAGATTTAGAGGCTCAGTCAGATTCAGCTGGGACGCTGTTGGCAGAAGCACCTCTCAGTGGTGATGGGGGCTCCAGCTGCCTTCCATCAGAAGCCAAATAACGTCTAGTTGTGTCTCTTTTTGTGCAGCGAGAACTGGCTTCTGGGAGATTCCTATGACAGGTCAGAGACAGGAATCCCACCTCTTTCTGGCTCTCCTACTGAAGGCGGCCTTAGAAGCCAGGCTGGGATGCAGGCAGCAGCGATCTACAGGCTCTGTTAAGTGATTTGGAGCAGCCCAAGTGGGGAAAAGACCGAAATTTGAACTATCAGCAAAATGGCGGCGAATTTACCATCCTTCCCACTGTCCTTAGAGTCTCAGAAACTGGAAAGGGCCAGACAGAACAAGGAGAGGATCTTGAAAGTCATGCCATAAAGATGTTTCTGAACTCCTAGGCTGGTCCCCAAGCTGCACCAGGGTGGATCTGGTCCTAATGAGTGCACCAAAGTCATTGAGAATTAATTCACAGAGAGACAACTGGGGGTGCTCATGCAGGAGAGATCCAAACAGTGCCGCAAAAAAACAGTCTGAAAACTATTAAAACCACGTTTCTACCCACAGAGAGTAGAAACATGCCATTTGACCCAACCAGTCATTTGCCTACTAAAACAAAAATATAAGGATCCACAGTGTCGGACATAACAAACAAAATTCCCAGAATATAATCTGAAATCACTTGCCCCACGGAGAACCAGGATAAGAACACTCAGGTGTCAGACTTCCATGGCGAAGAATTTAAAGCAGCTATTTTAGGAATGCTCTAACAAGCAATCCCAAACCCCCTTGAAACAAATGGACACACACGGTCTCAGCAAAGCAACGGGAGACCCAAGAACCCAGAGGAAATTTCAAAAGGGAAAAATACAGCAGCTGAACTTAAAGCCAAATCCAACACTGGATAAGGTGGAAAGAAGGGGACCAGAGAAAGAATCAAAATAATCCAACCTGAACAAAAAGAAAATGACGGACAATGAACAGAGTCTCAGAGACTCGTGGGACAGTGACAGAAGACCCGACATCGTTGTCATCAGAATCCCATCAGGAAAGAAGAAAGAGGACAGTACTTAGAAAATATTGAAGAGTTGAAAATGTACAAAGTACGGCAAATGACAAAACCTCAGGAAACCCTGAACAGAATACTTCGCCTGTGACACAGTCAACACCATCATCTAAATGCTGAAAAGTAGAGACAAAAAGAGAAAAGAAGAAAAAAATATATACTTCAAGGCATAACCTTTGGGGAAACAATCCAAATGACTATAAATTTCTCTTTGGAAATCAGAGAAGCCAAAAAGAAGAGGCACGTCTGAAGTACTTAGAGAAAAGAAGGATTAACCCCGAATTTCCAACACCATAAAAATACCCTTCGGGAATGAAGGTGAAATAAAGACGTTATCAGAATGAAAAATCGAGGGAATCTGTTGCCAGAAGACGTGCTTTAAAAGAACAGCTAAAGGAAGTTCTTCAGACAGAGAGGGAAGGATCCCAGAAGGGGACGTGGAACATCAGGAGGGAGGGAAGGAACCGGAGTGGGAACCGACTGGGTAAATACGATATTCTCTTCTCAAGAAGCCCTGAACATACACTGGAAACTTTACAGTGAAAAATTAAAACCCCACCTTGTGGCTCTCTTGAATGAATGGAGATGGGCAATGTGACACCCGTAACCTAATGAGCCCACAGTCAAGTCTCCACATTCCATTGAAGTGGTGCAACATCAGTTCACAGCTATCTGAAAAGACAGACAGGTGGCTTCAGGGGTTTTCAGCCTGATCCATCACATAAAGCCCCACATCAATTTTCCACCCAAGGGTCTCCGCAGCCACTGATGACCATTAACTGGATCCAGGCTTCATTAGGGGTTACGAAACAGAAATACATACCCTCACTCTACCGGTCCTCTATTAGCTAGTATTCTTACATTAAAAAGATGTACTTAATCTTAAGTCTGCTCTCTGGTTACTCGAAGGTGCAATTCATACAGGAAAGGAAAGGTAAGTGTTTGACTCTTTCCTTTTATTTTCCAGTCTTCAAAAGAGTGAGTTAGAACCACGAATTTTAAATGACAGGTATAAGGGAGGGTAACACTGGCTTAATCCCTACTTTCGTGATCTGGAATGGGTATAATGGGTATAATGGTCTCCCTTGGTCAACTGAAGGGCAATATCCAAACATGGGAATCTTACAGTGCCCTGAATTATGGCAAGGAGCACGGGACGACACAATCACTTTTGAATATTCACATTAGGATGTGCAGCACTTGCTTTGTATTGCCCCTGGATTAATCTCGTGTGTGTGTGTGTGTGTGTGTGTGTGTGTGTGTGTGGCACTTCCACCTTAGATGATAAGATCCCGTGACAGTAGGAAGCTGAAGCCAAGCTGTCTTCATTTCCTAAAGGACTAAATAAAATATAAAAGAAGTATGTCCTTGGAGATCCCAAGCCAAAGGCAAAATCCTAATAATATGGTTTTGCCTTTAGCCACTCACACTTTTGTTTTAGACCACTATTTTTTATATCAATGACTCCGGGCCAGCCACAAGATAAAACCCTTCTCGGATACTACGTCGTCTAATTCTCACAACCAACAACCACCCTGGGACGCAGGCGCTCAGCACCTGGGTCGAGAGACCAGGAAACCACCTGCGAGCAGATTCTACCCACACCCACCTCCAGCTGCCGTGAGTGACCTGCGTGCTCCCTGCCGAGGCGGGTGTCAGTCACCCTACCACCCACACAGCAGTCCCCCGGCTGTGCCAGGCCTCTGCCAGCTGAGAGCCAGAGATGACATGAGCGCCAGGAGAAGGCACGTGGGGCAAACGTCCTGTGTTCCTACGAGGAGGGGACCCCATGACTGACAGCTCCCTGAAGCTGCCCAAATAGCACAGCAGACAGATGCCCTGGGCTCCAGGGACTTAAAATAGAACCAGAGGCCAGAGAAGATCAGTGCATCCACATGATCTCTGAGTCATCGAGATCTTAAACTTATGTTTTAGAAAGAAATGAATAACACGAGAAAACGGTCACAACGAAGAGCACATCACAACTGAGTACATTACAGGAGTGTGTGTGTGTGTGTGTGTGTGTGTACTAAGTGAGTGTGTGCACATGCGTGTGTATGTGTGCAGACACACATACTTGTACATGTGTGGAAAGAGGGAAGATAGACTGGCACCAAGTTGCTCACACATTAACAGCATTTCACTTTGACTTACGGGCCGTGGGCAGTTTGGTTTCTTCGTTATAATTTATTTCCTAAGTTCTTTACAATAATCAGAAGAAAAGAATCTTATAAAGTTATGAGAGTGGTGGGCGGGTGGTGGACAGGGAGGAGTAGTGGGCAGTGGACGAGGGTTGCTAGGCCACTGCATGATTCTGCAGGAGGTGAGAGGGGTGGATACGTGTCACTGCACGTCTGCGCAAACCCACAGCGTGGACGACATCGGGAGGGAACCCTAACATGTCCTATGGACTGAGGTGACAACGTGTGGCTGCAGGGTCATCAAGTGTAACAAATGCACTCTGGTGGGGGTACTGACCCTGGCAGGCTCCCAGGGGGAGGCGGGGCATAGGGGACCCTGTTACCTTCCTCTTAGTTTGGCTAAAACCTCAAACTGCTTAAAAACATGAGCACAGAAAAGAAATGTGTGGATCTGCTCAGTTCCCACAACAGGCACAGAGGGTCAAGTAGTGGAACAGGCAGGGGGGAAGGAAAAAGAAACAGTGATCAGGGTGACCAGCAGCAGCAGAGACGAAGCACTTGCCGGGAGAGCTAGTACAACATTCAAGGTGGGACAGAGACACCTGAAGGTCACAGAGGCTGCAGTGTAAGGTCACTGTGGAAACAGGAATGCCTGCATGTACCCAGGCCAAACAGAAATCAAGCCCAGCAGCAAGACTGCCCCGAGGCAAGGAGGGACAGAGCAGAGGTGACAGTGTGTGTGTGTGTGTGTGTGTGTGTGTGTGTGTGTGTACACATCTGTCTGTCCATATACTGATATCATGGACTATTACACAACAGGTAAAAGGAACCAGGGCAGACACAGTCAACAACGTTATCCTACTCGTAATTTTTTCAACAACATATTCTTATGGTCTGTATAATAAGCATTTTTAAGAGAGTTCAAAGTAGGAAGGAAAGCAAGGAAGAACATGATCACGGGGTACTGAGTCAGAGTCCATCAGGTGAGGGTTTGGGTGAACCTGGAAATGGCTCTGCTACTGGTGAGCGGTCTGGGCTCTCCTCACTCAAGGCTCCTCGTCTGTTCTCTGGGGACAAGACACCTGCGTTTGCAGGGCTAGTGTCAGAACTGCTCAGGCACAGTGCACCCCACCCTGTACGGCCCCCGGGAAGTTGCAGCTGAGCATTCACAGATAAACACAAGGAAGAAGTGGCAAAGACAGGCTGTGGGTAGGAGCAGGAGAGCCAGCTGTGGGGTGGGGAGCGCAGAGATGGCGTGGCCAGAAGGGACAACCTGGCTGGCTGGAAAGGTCAGGGATGGCAGGGTCCCAGTCCTCGGCACTTACTGCAGTTCTCCTCGTCACTGCCGTCAGGACAGTCCTCAAACCCGTTGCACCGGAAGCGGCCGATGATGCAGTGGACGCCGCTGGCGCAGGGAAAGAACGTGGGGCCGCACTTGGACTTAGCTTTTGCTGCAGAGAGGAAAAAAGACGGAGAAACAGCGAGACGTCAATCAGGACGGTAAGGTCTCAGGCCACCGCGTCTTCCTCCTGTCCCCTCTGAAAGTGCAATGAGCCCTTGCAGGTTTACCTGGGGGTCCCCGAGGGAGGCTCACCCCCACCCCCACCTGGGATGCCCAGCGAGCCCGGACCCCCACATACAGCATCCCCGAGGAAGGGAGGGGCTGATCCTGCCCCACACAACCTCTGCACCCCCCAGGCACCCAACCCCAGGTGCCAAACAGAGGAAGGACTAGGTGGACGGTGAGCCGGTGGGCGATGGATGGAGCTTGCATCTCAAGATGCTGAAGAATCCATTGAAATTCCTTCCCGGGTGTCAAGTAATCACGGTTGACATTTAGCAAGCGCTCACTGTACCAGGCCCTACGCCAAGCGCTCTGCCCGGATTATCTCCTCTAATCCCCTGAGCGGCCACCCAAAGGGAAGGCCTGCAGAAGAGCTCACGCCCGGACACGGCCCTCCTTACAGAGGCTGCAGGCCAGGGTGCTCCTGCTTGGCTGGAGCCTGGGAACCTGGATTTGGGGAGGGGTCCCTCCACCGTAACTGAAGAGAGCAGCTCCCTGTGCCTACACTGTTTATGCCAATGGAACAGTTTGCGCTGAACACCTGCTTTCCTTTTGAGAGTCTGGAATCTGGGGACATGTGAGGCCAAAGGGGCTCCTGCAGCCGTCCAGGATAAACACTCTGGGCACTGACTCGCTAATGCGCCTGCCCAGTAGACAACACTTCACACATGTTACGACCCACTGCAAGGGAATCAGAGGCATCCTGTGGAAGGGACCAGGGCCTGCTCCGCTCTGGACTTCACTGCACCCCGGTTACCTCTGTGGATTCTGCTTTGTATCCTTTCCCTGAAATAGATCAGGGTCAAGGTACATGACTATACGCGGGGTTAAGTGAATCCTAGAAAAACTGGTGAATCTCGGATGGCCTTGGGGACCCCCAACACGGATGTCAAGTGCTCATCCCCTTTCATAGATGCATTCTGAGGATAAAGTGACTTGCCCAATGTCACACAGAGCTGGTGTGAGGCCCTGGGCACCCCTGACTCCAAGAAGCCACAATCCCAATCAACTCAATGGCACGGCTTCTCTGCCCAAGGTTTGTAATTTTCCACAAAAGAAGAAATTCATCTTGCCTTCCTGCCATATCAACAGTCTGGACAGAAACGGTTGATACTCAGGCTTGATGGAGTGTCCTGCTAAACCAAAGGGCTCTGTGGGGTAATGCACTTTCTTGTTAATGGTGCTCACTGCATTGGTTGGTGATTGGGAGGTGTTACAATAGGATCTGTGGCCACGTCCAGGTAGCAGGCTCCACTGAGTAGCCCTCTCGCTTCCTGTCTTAGAAGCGGGACCCACAAGTCCTCCCAGAAGGAAGGGCCATTTCTTTGGAACAAACAGGCCCTAAATCACCTCCGTGTTCCTGCCCTTTGTAACATGCCCACTTTGGCAGCAGCTGATTCACAGTCAACAGGGTGTAAAAGCCTGGGACGTGTCCAGGTTTTAAAAACCCACGTGGCCTTGTTTCCAACTGGAACAACCATAATGGTGCTGGGGAACCCTTCTCAAAAAACCCAGGAGAGCCCTGCCTTCCGATTCCAGCTCTGGGTCTAAGTCCTTGAGCAAGTTTCTAAATATTGTTGAACCTGTTTCTTCATCCATGAATTTCAAGTGCCATCTTTTTCCCAGGGCTCTGGTAAGTAGTCCATGAGATGACCTACATTAAGCACTTAGTACAGAGCATGGCATACAGCAGATGCTCAATTAGTGGAAAGATTCTGCCATTTATCATCATCACTAGAATTTTAAAACTGACCCTTCAGCTACTAGAACTTTTTTTTCCCCCAATTACCAGAGTTTAAAAAGCTCATTATGGAAGGGCTCTGTGAACGGATAGGAAATGACTCCCACGATATACTGTTAAGTGGGGGGGGGGGGGGAAGTGCAAAAGAAGGGCCGGGGCTGTAGCTCAGTGGCAGAGCACTTGCCTAGCATGGGTGAGGCACTGGGCTGGATCCTCAGCACCACATAAAAAAATAAAATAAAGGCACGCTGTCCGTCTTCAACTATTAAAAAATCTTTTTTAAAAAAGTGCCAAAGAAGACCTAGAGTATTTTGTCGTTCATATAGGAAGAGAAGGGGGTGAGGAAAAGAAAGAATAAAAATCACAACCATGTGTTGGCTCATCTGTACAAAAGAAATACAGGAAGGATCAACCAGAAATTGAACAACTGCAGATGGGTAGGAAAGGAACAGAATCCAGTAATAAGGATAAGAAAGGTGCATACTTCTGTGAGCATATCTATGTGTACAGATAGAGTCAGTCCATCTACCTATCTACCCACCTACCTCTCTCAGTTCACATTCCGTCTCTCTGTATACACATCTGTCTCAGTTTATATTTGCATAGATAAACCCAGGGAAGTGTCTATCTTAGAGCCACGATAATAGGATCCAAAAAAAATTAAGAGTTAAGATCAATCACATGTTGGAGAACTCAAAACGGAATTTAAGCAGTAACAAGTGAACACAACCTCCTTCTTCCACATGAATAACACCCCACTGAAGTGAGAGGTTTAAAAAGCTAGCCTTAAGCAACTGTGTACAACATTATTCTGACTGGATTCTCTAAGGTTAAAGGGGAAAAAGGACTCCATGTAAATACTGTACTGCGGTTATATTTATCTCGCACAGGGGCAGGGAATTGCAATCCTGAAACCACCACTTGCATAGGCAAGGGCTGGACAAGGCAGTCGACCTTGCCTCAACAGTAAGAGCTGTCAGAGGGAGACGGCCCCTGAGGAACCCTGGGGCTTTGGCCTGGAATTAAAGGAATGGGTTTTTTTTTTTTTTTGGGGGGGGGGTTGTTTGTTTGTTTTAAGAGAGAGAGATGAGATGAGAGAGAGAGAGAGAGAGAGAGAGAGAGAGAGAATTTTTTTAATATTTATTTCTTAGTTTTCGGCGGACACAACATCTTTGTTTGTATGTGGTGCTGAGGATCGAACCCGGGCCGCACGCATGCCAGGAGAGCACGCTACAGCTTGAGCCACATCCCCAGCCCCAAAAGGAATGTTTTAAAAATCAGGCAGATAGACGTATCTACTAGATGGAGAGAGAGAAAAATAGCTAATAAAATAAATATTGATTTGTGTGTGCAGAAGAGGGGTGTGTGTGTGGGTGTGTGTGTTCCTTAGCTCTTTTATTGACAAGGACTAGAAACAAAGATGTCCCAACAGCAACAAGCACATCCAGCTCTCAGACCATGGTTTCTAAGTACCATTCAACCAGCCCAGGAAGCCCAGATCTTAGGAGAAGTGGCTGGTTTCAGAGGGGACCTTCAAGATGAACCTCCAGCATCTTATATTGCTAGAATATAAAGAAGGGTTCAAAGTGCCCTGGGGGCAAGTCGAAGGGCCGAGGAATTAACCTGAACTCCCAATAGCCCAAGCTGGAACAATCTGAGCAACCAAAAGGTATTGAATTGCAAACCAGAGGATGAGATGAACATCCCTGAGGCCCTCCTGATACCAAAGTTGGTTGAAGGCACCAGTATATGGTTGGGGAGGGATAGAAGAAATTCTCATTAATGAATGTAAAAGGGGTGCAGGAAACAGAAAGTCCCTCTTATGCAAACAGGGCAGTAATAACTTATAGAGGCAAGAGGTACCAATGTGGTTGCTAAAGTCAGAGGAGGAAAGCTTGAGGAGAGACAGGGTATCTGCAAAACCTCAAGGATCTCCCCAGTATGCTAATTAATCACAAAGGGGGAAAAATAGTGACTGAGAAACTTGGCAGGTGCCACCTTACCATGCCATCGTGGTCAAAATGAGAATCACTGGACATCAGCAATACAGTCGCCCTCGAATGGGGAACAGAGGACACCACATCGCCCTCTGTGCTCTACTTGCCAAAAATACACGATTCAAGGTAACCATGAGAGGACATCCGACAAGCCCGAAGGGAAGGCCTTCCACAGGCTAACTGACCAGTAACCTCCAAGGTCACAAAGGCCAAGAAGAGGCATTTGCAAACACTGGAGAGGCCCCCAGGACTGGGAAGGACGGCGATGGAACTCCACCAGTGCCAATTCTCGTTTCGATCCTTGCTCTAGGGCTCTCTCAGATGTCAATCATATTAGTGGACAATGGACAAGGAGTCTGAGAACTCCCAGGACTACTTCTGCCCCTTTTCTGTAGGTCTAACATTATTTCGAAATAAAAACCTATGATCAGGCTCCCTGTGGAGTACATAAAAATATAGAGCAGGAAAGAACATTACCTATAATCCTCCACTCTGAGGCACCCCAAATTTGCATTCTTCTAACGCAGCTGACGCCTTTATACATACAATTTTTTTTTAATGTCCCAGGATTTTTTTTATTGCACATTTTATTTTGAGAAACTTTGTGATTTACATAAAGTGCTAAAAAAGATCCCATGTACCCTTTTCCTACTTTTCCCCAATAGTAACTTCTCGTAAAACTATAGGAGGACGTCACGACCAAGATGCTGCCATTGCTGTGGCCAAGATACAGAGCATCTCCATCCCCACCAAGAGCCCTCAGTGACCCTCGGACAGCCAGGACCAACACTCTCCCTCTCCCACTTCTCCGTTAACCCCTGGCAATCACAGGTCTCTTCTATGTTTCTACACTTTTGTCATTTCAAGAATGTCATGTAAGTGGAATTGTTCGTCATATAACCTTTTGGAAATGGCTTGTTATTTTTTTCATCCAGTGCAAGTCTCTGGAGAAAACCCTCCTGTGATTTTGTAGATTAACTTGCTTTAGAGCTACAACACTAAATATTTTCCAAAGTTTATTGTGGCCACAAAAATATTTCATAGTATTGATCAACAAGATTGTTCTATCATTTCCTCCATGCTGGGCACTTGGGGTGCTAGGGTCTGGATGTGGTTCATTCTCCTAAGGTTCCTGTGTTGGAAGCTTGG